AAAAAAAAAAAAAAAAAGAGAGAGAGAGAGAGAGAGAGAGAGAGAGAGAGAGAGAGAGAGGTTATGATAATGGCGCAAGTGGCTCTTTCTTGACTCTCACTTGCGCGGTTGGGCGGGGAGCTGAAAAGAGGGAAAAGACTTACATCGCCAGCAGCATTCTTGAGGTCTGCTTGAGCACCCTCGTCGTACACGTCAGGAATGTCCGATGGAAGTTCCTTGGCGTCCTTGATGAGGGCGTCGTGGGTTTGCTTGATCTCCTATACCAACCATCCATCACACGCGGTCGTCAGTATTCTGTCTTGGACCATATAGACGGACTCGCTCTCTCTATCTCTCTCGTGTGTTTCTACTGCATACCTGAAGAGGCTCGCTCAAATCATCCCCTTCGTTCGCATTCTGAATCAATTGCGAGATAGTATAAGTCTTCTCGCCGAAGCCCTTGAAAATCTGTTCCCATTGCTCGGCCATGGTGGATGGATAGTTGATAGATGAAGGTGTTGATCGATGGTATAGACGAATGAAAGAGTGATAAGATAATAGTAGCTGGTGGTTGTTGGTAACAAATATCTGGTCAAGCACACAATTGAATTCACAAGTGTCCCGTTTCCAGCAAACGCTCCACCGTCGTCATGAGGGGTCGGGGAACATGAAGATCGTTCCCGTCTCTGGTGTAACGTAGCATCACATTTTCCTGAAGAACCTCATCACTGACCTCATGATGGTGTGTTATGGCGCACGGGTTTTTGGCTTTCATCCCATTCCCACAAATGCATACTTTACCGTACCAGCAACACACCCTTTGCGGCCGCGATGCGACTTGTACATTCTTGGAATGTCATTGACAACAGGATGAATCGTCGTCCAGGGCATTCACAATAGACAAGATGGGATATACGTGCGACTTCTGGGCCTGCAATGGAGAAGCCGAAAGAGGTGTGATGAACAGAAAGAGACCGGCTTGGAGTGGAGGGCGCTGGTCCGAAGCAAGTGAAGCACGATGACCAGTAATAGTATCACGTCCCTGGTCGGGGTGATAATTGGATTCATACACATCACACCGAGAGTCGAGACAGTGTGTTGGTGACAGTGCAAGGGTTCAGTGGGAGGTTCATTTTACAGACGAGGTGCCACGAGCGGCAGAAACTGGAGAACCCTGGTTAATCTGTGGCCCCTTGTTCCAAGTGAGGGAGGCTCAAGCTTATGTAACAATCATCTTTGGAGAGTGGACGAGCCCTAGCATCGATGTATTGACACTTGGAACAGATGAATCAGTGGCATGAAAGAATGCCCGTGGACTAGGTATGCAGAAGATGGGGGGGTCTGGCCATCAATATATATACTATGTATACCTTAAGGTATAGTATGTATAGTAACATTGACAGCCATGCCTAGATCCATCCAAAACCAACGCCAAGTACAACGTTAACAAGGAATAGAAAGCAATGCTCAGCGAGGATGTTGGTTGGCTCATTCAACTATCCCAGAATCCCAGACGCTTCCATCGACCGTAATTCTGTTGACTTTGCCTGCCCCCCTTGTTTGACCGACGGGATCCGCTCTCGCGTGACATATAAAGAATGAGTTGGACCCGTACTATTTCTGCCTGGTAATTCCACTTTCGTCGACACTCGAGACAGAGCTTGTTTTTGGCACGAAAGGAAAGGCGGAGCTGCACGAACACAAACGATGAGGTTGCTATTTTTCCTTCTGTCGGCTTTTTGGTGCTGGTAAGTCGACGTCCCCCTCCCCATCCATATCGCCGCACTAGATATATATATACCACAACAAAGCAGGCCACTGATTCCAGCGCAGCCTTAGCCAAGGAAAACAGGTGCCGGCACAGTGCCTCTGTATCGCGGCCATTCCCGTTGAGTTCGCAAACACGGCTACGGTGGCCGTTTGTGGAGGTCACTATGGTAGCCACTATGTCAAGACATCCAATACAACTGGAGACTCTCGGGTGAGTATTGATCTGCGCCTACATACCTACAAAACCTGCGTACTGATGGAGAATCGCAGTGCGAGGATCCAAATAATCCCTTAGCAACAACTTTCGGACAATGGATAACTGAGACGTTCGGGGAATGGTGTGTGAGCGCAGGCGCGATCGGATCACAATGCTGTGACAGAGGCGAATCTACTAACGCTGATGGCTGCTCCATCTATGGGCCACCTGATCCCCCAATGTGAGCCTGATTCCAAACCTGCTACCCGCGGCCTCATCACTCCCGGTCTTCCTCCTCCCCCCTTTCTTTGCTCAAGAGGATGGAGCCTCGAGTACCTGGGGGTTGTACTGCGAGAAGCGCAGGGACGGGATGGTCCTCCTCGTCCAACAAGAGTCAATATTACCACATCTGTAACTTCTGGCCGTCGTCTCATGCATCGCCAGCCCCTTTATGGTGATGGTGCGATGGCAATTCATGAGAATCGACCTTCTTTGTCCTTGGAGCTTGGAGAGGGAGGGAGGGAGAAAGGGAGGGAGGGCGAGGAGGGGAAAGGAGAGACAGAAAGAAAGGAGAGAGAAATATAGAATCTACATTGAGAGACCAAGTCATTCCCACGAATCTGCCTTCTCGCACAAGCCCTGCCTGAGAGTACTGTGATCAGTGATAGCCTACCTTAGTGCTGACCGCCACAGTCAAAAGTACAGCGATGATCCAGTAGTCACAACAGCCGCGATACCACAACGAAGAGTGCCAAGCGACGTGAAAGAACTTCCTCCCAACCCTCTCTCCTCTTCGCGACACGAAACACATCACCAGCCTCCATTAGCGAGAACATTACGCGACGGCGGTGACGCCGACGAGTCGACGACGATCACGTTTGAAATCTCTCCCTGTCTCGCACGCTATAAAGCATGCATGCATGTCGGATAATATCCCTGAGCTGACCTGAGCGCTGACCTTTTTGAGTCCCTGCTCCCTCGTGAGGTCACACGCAGTCGCCTACATAAGGTATTAACCCTTACACGATAAGAAAAAAATATGGCCGATGTTCGACCTCGTCTGCCCTGGCACCCCTGAGAAAGCTCAACCTGCAGCACAAATTCATTGCCCCTTGCGTTGCTCCCTACTTTGAGAAAAGAGAAGAAAAATATGTCATCGCAACGTGAGACGGTGAGAAGACCGAAAGGCGGGGGGGCTGCACTATTGCCTACGGTACCTAGGTACTGCAATATTGGTGGCTTCTCCTGTCTGTCTGTTTCTTCGCCCATTGATCTCTCGGCTTGTGAAGATGTCTACATATGTGCCTACGTAGACATGTATTCGTAGCTCTGCAAGTCCGTCTCTCCCTCCAGAACGCCCCCCACGACGGCACGCAAAAGCATCTATCGAATACTCCACCGGGCGTCTTACGTGGAAAATGGATCATAAAGTATATCTTGAAGTATACTACCATCTCCACTTCTTCACAGGAAAAACTCAAGGGATAAAACTGCCGGTTTCGATGATATCGATGCAGACAAGGTCATTCGCCAGGTTATATGAACATGGTTTCTCACCCTTGAAAAGACCCCCAGGTATGTTTACACACTTGTTAAGTTGTTGTACAATGTACAGTACCTTTGCTGGGGCATGGGCCCCCCCAAGTGATGAGCATCCATGATCACCCGATGATGAGCTCTAGGCACGATATGTTGGTCAGCAAGACTTGTACATATTATACATGGAAGCGCGATATCGAAAGGCCCTTTTTTTTAAGCGAGCATGAGCTATGAGACTATGTTGTGCACTTAGAAAAGAGGACTAGGGGCATTTGGACGACAGCAGACACTTATCTAGCAATTCAATTAAGTTTGAACAAAGCATACAATTTCAAAAGAAAAGCAAGCTGCTACATCGACGACATGGTAACCTCTGATTTTCGATTTGTTTTTTCTTTTTCGGGCTAATATATACCGGTCTATCCTATAGTCCTATCATCCATTTTTTGATCCTATCCTATACACCAAGTCCCTACCATCTCCCCTATTCCGCCGCGCCTGCGCAAGCATCATCATCATCATCACACACACAAGACAAGCCAGTCCATCCATATCCCATCCGATCTCATTACCGATTTTCACCGGACCTAAAAGGGGGTAGGGGTTCACACAAGTCAGCTCTCTCTCTCTCTCTAGTCATCAACAATAGCCCATGCATCGACAATGTTAGCTCGACAAGTCGGGCAAGTTCTATGATCCTCCATCCACCTCGCGAGATTTGCGAGAGAGAAGAAATGACCACAAGGGGTGAAAGCACTTACTGTTTGACCTATGACAAGATCTTCCCATGAGATGGGGCAGATGAGTGTTCCGTCTTCGGCAACATCATTCGCTGTCAATTGGCGTTGTATCAATCTGACGTTGAGCGGTTCAGGGTGGAGTGGATGCCCGTTTTCTTCGTCGTCGTCGTCATCTTCATCATCTTCACTAGGATGGAAGTCCAAGAGTTCTTCCAGTTCGTCGCTATCCATATCTTCATAGTCGATCAGGAGCGATTCTACGTCACTGCTTACAAGCTCAGCATCAGCGAAATCAAGCCCATCTTCCACGGCCATGGGAATGTTGTTACCACCAGCCACATCACTGCCGCTGTTTGCAGGAGAGACAATATTCGGACTGGGGTGATTGCTTGCTCGCGGTGAAGAAGACGAAGCAGAAGAAGAAGAAGAGGACGACCGCTGTCCTCGGCCTCGCTCAGCGAAGAGTCGCGTTGCAATAGCAAAAGAGGAGAGGGAGAAAGAGGAAGAAGAAGCACGCTCAGCATCCATCATCTCGTTGAGTGAAGCCAACTCGGCTTCAAGTTGGACTCGCATCGTATCATTCATCTCATGGCGGTATTCGACAAAGATGCGGGCGTACTCCTCTTTGCAGGCTTCTATGGCACTGAGCATCTGAGACTGCGTGTATTCGTTGCTTCCGCTCGCTCGACTTCGTAGGATCGTGCGCACCAAGTCGAACCGCTGGAGATCGACCTCGGGGTAGTCGTCCATTGTGACGAGAGATTTCTTGTGGTTTCGAAGCGGTGGAAGAAAGTTGAGTTGCGGGTTGTGTAGTGCTTTGTGATGAGGTATCGGCAAGATGTGGTTTAACAGTTGTGATGGGATATCGAGCTGAGAGAGAGAGACTGAGGGCGGTGGTTATATGCTGCCCCTGAATTGTCGTTTGTCAAAGGCTAGCGACACTTACTACATTTCGCCATTAACTCGCTCATGAGACCAGACAGTCACTTCATTGAGATCGATGCCTACAGCAAAAGCAAGTGAAGCTGCCTGGAGTGCTTCAACAATAGCATTGTATCGATAAGGGGCCGCGACAAAGAGATGCTCAGCAACATACTTTGTACTTTGATAATCGTCTTTGTTCAAAGGCCTGACTACGAGATCCCACACCCTGTGGCTTTACAATAGTCTCGTTCAGAACAAAGGGGCTTGCAAAACACAAAGCATTGTCAGCCAGACATAGCACTCTCAGATTTTGCCTATAAAAAGAGCGACGGGACTCACTGTAGGAAAGACAAACGCTGCAGAGTTCTACGATAGTCGACTCCACTGGCCAACGAACACCAGTGTAAACAGGTCTTTCACAACCTCACAGTCAACTTCCAGAACTCATCAGCCCAAAACACTCAACACATTATCCTGTTCGACCCTACAACTTTCCTCCAGCATGGAGAACAACAACCTATCCAACCTCAATCCCGAGGACACGGATGAGAGCTCAGGCGAGTCCACCAACTCTTCCCGATCCATATCACCCTCCAATCCAGCCCCAACTCGATCTGCACGACCCTCCAATCCAGCCCCAACTCGCTCCAATGCTAATTCCGATCCGATACAGTGGAATTTCGCATGGCCAGTCTTCGCAGCGGCGGGGCAGAACAGAACTCCCTCCCACGCACCAGCGCAAGAGAGAGGAATCACAGAACAACTACCACCCCCACCACCACCACCATCATCCCCAAGACTCCCACCGCTCGTCGGAGGACCTATCCCCTTACCCCCTCGAGCGCGCCGCGACGCACTCACGCCCCTCGACACCGCATTTGCACAACAATTCCGCCACTGGGCCGCGCCTTTGAATCCCTTGAGACCTCGACTCAGCGAAACCGAGCTCAAATCCCTTCCACAGCGTCCCATTACGCCAGCAGATCTCGACGATCAAGGCGAAGCCCAATGTAATATTTGTATCCAATCCCTCGCCATCGGTGAGATTGTCTGCTGTTTGCATTGTGGTCATTATTATCATCGCGAGTGTCTTGTCGCTTGGTTCGCGAAAAGTAACTCGTGTCCTAGTTGCCGTCGGATATATCGACCGCTGCCTCCTCCTCGAGACTATCCTCCTCGGCGCCGTGACGATGAAGACCCAAATGGTGGTGCTAGTGGTAGTGGTGGTGTCGCCCAAGCTGTATTGGCGGCATGAATTTTGGTGCGTGGTGCGGTTTACTGACTGAACTTGTCAATTTTAGGTAGAAGGAACTTTTTTACCCACGGTCCTGCGTATATCGACCCAAGCCTGGTGGGGAGGACATGTCTGAAGAGTGTCTCTTTCCTGCGAGGCGAGGGGGGTCATCGTATCTTAGTCGTTTAAGGACTAGGATCTGGAGACTTCCATGTTCGACTAAACAGCAAGAGTGTTGTTTGAAGCTGTAGAATCTCGAGCAGGTCTTGTGATCTATATTAATCCCAATAGACTCAAGTTCGGGGGTAATATTTTGGACCTGGATCGGTGTTGGACCCAACGAGTTTTAATCTTGTAGTACATCTTTTGCCCTCCAATAACACTGGCGCTATATTGATGATTTGAGACTGCCATCTTTACTCCAAGCTCCTACGTATTCTTGATTGTGGTAGAGAGATATGGCTTTACAAGGGGTACTAGAAGTATCATCTGTGTTATCAGGACTCTTCTCTCTCATCCAATAAACCTAACTTTGGTGCTGCGGTCAGAGCACGAACAAGGCTCTGCCGAGAGAGAGAGGTTTTACATTAGAGTGTAGGTAGACAGCGAAATGTCTGACCGCGATGGACAGGAGAATACATGTAATAGTAGATCTAGCAGTGATTCACGCATCATCTCCTGAGTCGGGGTAAAAATCTTCTTGATGATGCAAGACAGAAAGGAGCGAAGTGAAGGATACGTGATAGTAAGTGAAAATTGATCGGAGTTCGTGCCTAAGGCATTCTTAATTCCCCCACTCCTTTCGCTACACACAATTTTATTCATCGACAGCAGGCTATACCCTCTACACCCTTCACTCTATCTACATAGTACATCCATTTATCGAAGTTTCACCGTAAGAAGAAGACCAACAAAAAAAAATCCCGTTGACTAATAATGTACCTCCCTCAAAGTATCAATACTCTAAACTTCAACACCAAGAAGCTAAATTTCGGCCCATACATTAAAAGACAATTCAAGTCGCAAAGTGCCAAACTAGATGACCTGGCCAACCTAGCCTCCATCGGATAGCGAGAGAGAGAGAAGGCAAGAGAAAAAAAACAATGGATGGGGCTGGAGCCTAGGAGACACCACCCTCGACCTGAAATGGACCAATAAGAAACCTTGCGAAGGGATTTTCAAGAATATGACCAAGGGCTACCAGTTTCGCGAGGTATGTATGTATGGTACAGTATGGTACAACAGTACAGTACATACAAAGTACAGTACAACATTTCCAAGCGACGGAGTTTCAACGTGGAGGCAGGGGGGCACGCTGGGACCTAGGCCAATCTATCTATCGAGCGATTCGAGCGCAGGCAAGAAATATAGTACCTCCTAGGCTGCAGCAGATTAACCCTGTGCAGACACGGGGTTTTTCTTTGGTGGGATAACAAGATGATTTTGACATGAAACACATCAGTATGCTACACTGTCTGTGGTGCTCTCGAGCTTGATGACAACAAGTCTGTCTGCAGGCAGCCCTTTTTTGTTTTCACGGAGACCGAGGACTCCGGAATAGCTGGTGAGCTCTCTCTTCTTTGACCCTGAACGAGAGTTGTCTGGCTATGCACGGATGGTCTTGCTACCGACTCCTTTTCTCAGTGGAGGCATAAAATTGTTCTATGAATCCACGTCGAGTTTTGGTTCATCTGATTGACAGCGCCCAAATTACTAACTGGTAGGCAGGGTGCAAAATTCCGTAGTAAGTTGCGTTCTTGGCGACGTGGCTGCTTGCCTGTTTGACAATCAGAAAACAATGTACTTGTTTATCCTTTTGTTTCGAGCAACTTTCCAATAATGCTCACAAAAGGGCTGGAAGAACATCCGCTATCTCAAAAAGTAAGAGAGCTCAATCGACAGTCCGTCCTTTCGCGCGATAGCACTCGTAGACTGTTCTCTGAAAGAGAACGACACAGCACTTCACTTCGTTGCCAAGCATGAATATGAATGAGCACTTCACTTGGTACGACACACACACACATACATACAACGCTTTGAAAACATGAAAAAGAAGCTACTACTATAATATCTCTCAGCTTTCTCCTTCATGCATCTTCTAGTAATCACCTACCACCAATTCGCTGCACAAAGCGGAGACACGAAGTTCTATCATCGTGTCTCAGACTTTCCCTAACCTATAACACAAGAAGAATACTCAGACAATAAAACAACCGACAGTAGTCTCCAAGCATGTCTCAACCCACCCTACCTCGCCTTCTACTTCTTCTTCTTCTACTCCTCCTCCATCTCCTCATCATCCCCAGCGCTATTTCCGCTCGACCTCTAACACAGCACAAATCCACCCCATCTTCTCTCAAAGACGAATCTCCCATTTCCATCGACGGTCTCTGTGGATCCCACAGCAACAATAATCAAAAAACAACATGTCTCCACTCCCCCTTCGGAGACAGTTGCAGCAAATGGGGTTTCTGCGGTTCATTCTACGAGAAAGAATATTCTGGGATAGGCTGTCAAGTAGATTTTGGAGTTTGCAATTCAGAATTCGCGACCTTAACCGACGATGCTGCGGAATCGAGCACTACCTCGTTATCAACTTCTTCTTCTTTTTCAACAAGTACAACAACATCAACTCCAGGCATCATTATTATTCCAGCTACGACTACTTTTGTCAGTGTCGTGGTGAGTACGAGTGTGAGTGGGAGTTTCACCCCTGTTCAGACTTTGACGGGCATGGTGGGATTTTGTGGGGTGGCGGGGTCGAATTGTGCGGTGTGAGAAGGAATGAAATGAATGAAATGAACTTTTCGGGGGGATAGAGAGAGAGAGAGATAGATAGAGAAGGGGCATGGGAAGAAACTTGACGAGAGGGATTATTTGGGACTGTTTGGATAGGGGGATGGCTGTTATTACCTACTATTACTACTCGGTAAGATAATAGACCTTAAAAATGTCTCCTATGATTGTTGTTTATTGGAGTAGTTCCTCATTCCCCTAGCTAGCAAAGAAAAAAGAAAAAGCTCAATATAGAAAGAGAGAGACCCGTACACAAAAAGCCAGGTAGCCTAGAACCTATAGCGAGCGAATTCCTACCATCGTCAGTTAGTCAGTCATTCAGTCAGTCATTCAGTCAGTTAGTCAGTCAGTTAGTCAGTATTTGTTTACTACCTAACGCGATTAGGTAGTATAAAACCTTCCCGATGAACTGTGCCTGTATGTAAAGAAAACGAGAGAGGGCCGTATATGTATAGGTATGTGGCGTTCATCCACCCTCCCAAATCCACGGACCCGGTTTCGCATGCATCTCCACACATTTTCGTTTTCGTTTTTATTTCTTTTTTGTTTTTGTTTCTTTTTGTTGCATAAAAAAAAATTGAAACAGCCACTACCAACCACTTCTTTGAGGCTTACACCGGTCAAGCGGTCGTTGGAGAGTGCATGCAGACTACTGGAAATAGATAGATACGGAGGTAGAGGTGAGGTACCTTAGAGGTACATACACACCTCGGTATGTTGGAGGATGTATGATAATAATAGGAAGGATAAATAACGACAAAGCACATGTTTCTTTTCTTCTCATGTCGTACGTATATCGGAAAAAAGAAAAAGAAAAAGAGAAAAAACAAACCTGTCCTTCGTTCGTGTATCCTATCCCATCCCATCCCATCGCCCCAGCTGATTTCGGATAAGTAGGTAATCCGTCTACTCTGCCGTCCCGTAGTCCTGTACTCCCCCCTCGTTTGTGTTGCCAGCCACTATATCGGACTCGGGGACCAACGGTCGAAGATATTTTGGGGGGAAAAAAAGTTGGTGCTACAACCCCCTAAAGAAAAACAAAAAAAAAAGAGGTTTCGACTATATCTAGCCACGGAAAAATATTCACAGCAAGACGAAATATATATATTTATGTCGTACGTAACGTACGTAGGAAGTTAAAAAACACCCTCCCGGCTAAATAAATCCCAACACATAATAAACCGCTAGATAATGTATGTTTTGCTCTCAAGCCTACTGCCTTTGAGCGTCACGAGCAAGCTTAATCCGATAACTCCGAGGAATGAAGGTTGCGAGGTTGCGTGACCGGTGTGATGATCAGTATGTACAGTACATGTACATGTAGTCAGGACTATCTTGGGCCAAGTAGGAGGTAGGGTAACAAAGTTACAAAGTACTGTATGAGTAAAAGAGGTTATACATAAGGTATAGCCTTCGTGCGGAAGGGAGCAAGCAGGCAGGCAGGCAGCAGGCAGCAGGCAGCAACAACACCCACCGGGTAAAGTATCTGCGTATCTGCGTATCTGAGGCGCCGCTACGATTCTTTTTTTTTTTCTATTTTTTTATTTTTCCTGTTGAACCAACCCCTCTTACATGAAACAAGAAGACTTTTTACCACAACGGCCAGAAAAATGCGACTTTTTTTGAAACCTTAGACCGGTTCGCTTCTTTTTTGGTAATGAATGTATAGAGCTAGGAGGTTGTAGGGTAGGGTTGTTGATGAATACCATACCATACCATTACCATACCTTAGTTTAGAGGTACATACTACATAGCCATTCGCCCACGCGAGTACGAGCCTCCGGGAGTAGCAGGGGATCCTACCTAGGATTGATTGTGTAGTGTAGGGACAAAAAAAACCTCCCTCCACAACGTTCCGATGTATGTGACTTGCATTTTCGTCAAGAGGCAAGGCACAGCTGCGTGTGATGGGACAGGCAATCAGGGGTGTTCCCTTCCTCTTCTTGAATATGATCGGCAGTCCGGGCGAAGGCGAGTACGGAGAGAAAAGCGATTCTTTTGCAGCCCAAGGCGGCAGTCTAGTCAGTACCTAATTGACTCCTACCTGTACAGCTTCGGACCTATCGAACAGGGCTTCTTCCAAATGTAAAAATATTTCTTCTTCCACTCGTAAAGACACGGCAACCCTCGATAGGTATCATATGAGGCTGAGGGCATGTCCTGTAATACTCTTCTCCCCAAATCAAGAATTTGGTCCGCTTCAGGCAGTAAGAAAGAATGCTACCTTACTATGGCGACCACGCCGACCAGACCGAGCGCTCTCAACGAGGATAATCCCGGTGGGAGACGAGGATATTCAATCAATACAACACAATGGAGTACTGTAGACAAAGTCTCTTTATTATAATTACTACCATGGCCAGCGCTTGTACAGTACGAGCCTTGTAGGTAAAAGTTGATCCAGGGCAAGTTCATACTGTAGTGGTCATGGTGCGCGCGGAGTAAAAGGACTTCTAGGCGATCTCATGCCGCCACAACATTTTCCCCCCATCCCCTTCCCAGGTGGCGAAAGCCAAAGGGGAGAGGGAGACGAAAAGCTTCCTTGCGGTTGCGGCCTTAGGCACTAACAATCCTGCCTGGCCTGATCTTTTCTTCTTGTCTCTTTTTTTCTTCTCTGATGCCAGTAACACCACGAGACCACACGAGCTTGAGCGAGGAGCCCATCCCGCAATCCTCGAGGCGACGAGGCCCTGGCTCCGATCGAAAAACTTAACCATCTGGACGACTCGCTCGCACCTGGTCTCCCTCCGTACTCGTCAACTCGTCTACAGCAGTACCTTTCACTCAACTCACCCTCCGGGATAGATTGAGTTGAGGCTGTGCTAGGCACACGGACACGGCAAGACAAGGGCTTTGTGTGTGTGTGTGTGTGTGTGTGTGTGTGTGTGTGTATGTGTGTGTGTGTATGTGTGTGTGTGTGATGTGGTGCACCAGTGACCAAGAGACGCTAATAACGACAGGTGGGTGGTGCGAAAGGGATCAAATAAACATTCAAAATCAGGAAACATGGAGACCCGGCGAGGCGAGTCGAGGCGAGGCGCGGACAATATGTTCAACACCGTGCACTCGCTGATCTATCCGTGTGATATTGTCTTCGTTTGTATGATACAAGAACCATGATGCTCTCTATCGACCCCCCCCCCCCCTGCGGCTCAACACTGCAAGTCAATCCAAAGTGCCGCCTGATCTCAATCTTCATGGAACATCAAAAGCGAAGCAAATGTCGATGAGTGCGATCGATAATCGATGATGATTGATGATTGATGATAACTATGCTGTCGTATACATGCTATCCTCTTTGATTCTTTGCTTCTTTCCTGCGTCTTGCTTCGCGCTCCCTGCTCATTCTTAATTTCTATAATCTGCCAATATTAAAACGATGCAAAAGCAAATGGGGTATCATTGGAGCGCATTGCGCCATGTTTCCCGTGAAGGTGGTGAGTCTATGCTAAAATGTTATTGCTGATGTGGGTATCCGATGCTGCAGCTGCTGGCTGAGTGATGACGAAAACGCCGATCGCAATGCTGACGCCCCTTTCATGGAGAATGATAGAGTCGGAGAGTCGGAGAGAGAGAGAGAGAGAGAGAGAGAGAGATTCTCTGAGATAGGCCATTCCCTTGGTGGTGGAGAGATGCGGCTCAGATGACCATATCCAATCAATTTGTTGTTGTTGTTGTTGTTGTCGTTGTTGTCGTTGTTGTTGTTCCAGTCCTGTGGCCATGTTGATCATCTGAGGCCGAGACAAAGGGATGGGTGGGCCATGGAAAGTGGCCTTGTCTGGCGATGAGAGATGGTGTAGTGCAAGCCGTGATGGATGGTGGCTCAATGCGGCCTAGCGCGCGAGAGCTTTCAAAGCGGTCCTGGAATGGGCCGCATGACCATTTGTTGATCCCAGTAATGCGGCTCAAACGCAAACACCCAAGTTATCACACACACACACGCACACACACCCGCCCACCCATCGTTCTTATGATGTTGAAGTCGGCTGACCTTGGCTCTCGTAATCGTGCAAGGGAACAAATCTGGCTTCCGCGGGCATGGCTGTTGGCCCCGTCAACGAAGGAATTCGTTGTTGATAGCCGTATGACTGTTGCGCTGTGCCTGGAAGACCCGTCGCTGGCGATGCGAGATAGCCAGTGAAATTCGAGTACCCGAGATCGGAAGCATAGTGCCCCGAAGGCTGATGCCAGGACGTCGCCTGTGCGCCTGCGGATGTAGGTACAGAGAGGCGTGGATCCGGATGCCCTGCTGACGGCCCGATGCCGAGACCTGTTGGCATCCCGTGAGGCGAATACACATTATGTTGCATTTGGGGTGGCGCATAGACGTGCGTATATGATGCAGAGCTCGAGGCAGAGCGCGGCGACGCAGCTGATCGTTGATCCATACCCATGTCGGACGGTCGGTTCATGGCGTAGCTGGAGCCTGGAGCGTGCAATACGCCGGCAGTCGACGAATAACTTGCAGACTGTAAAAACATGTTAGCTGTGCATTCAATATCGAGAGTGCATTGCATATGCATGCAAGGATGACTTGCATATTTGCCAATAATCTTCTTCAAAGCAGTTGCCAAGATCCGCCACGGGAACACCTTCACGTCCTTTTCGATGTTTCTCGGCTTCGGGTTGGGAAATCCCATGATGAGCTTGAAGAATTCCTCACTATCCGCCTTGGTCTTGGACACGGTTGCCGGCCGGAACCCCTCCAGGTTTCGACGGATGCGGTTCTTCTCCTCGACCGTGAAGCGTACTGCGACCAAGGATTCCAATAGCGAGATGGTGTCCACTGATGTGACATAGCATTCCTGTTTCTCCTCCCACCAGATGCAGCTGACACAAATGCTGTTAGGCAAGCGGTCTTCCAGTGTGACGGGCTCGAAAGTGGCAGATATTACACTTCCAGTCTGGCTACGTCGGAATTGCACAAGGCGTCGTCTGTTCTCCCACTCTGCAGCAGACCATCCATCGGCCATTTTGGTCAGCTCGCCTTCGATTTTGAGCATCGCTTTAGTATTGGATGGGTACACAGTGTATGGGTTAAAGACTGGAGTGGCTGTCATGGTCGCCCCAGGGGTGGTGGGTGATCCCTGTAAAGTCGAGGTGCGTATGAGCGGTGGAGCCCCTGCGCCCGCCGGCGATGGAAGCAGGTGGGAACCCTTGCTCTGTGTTGACATGGAATTCATCGAAGGGCTACGAGTCGTCTGCACAGGCGCGTACGACCATGACGGACTTTGCGAAGTTGTGAGCGAAGGCGTCGCAGTCGCAGGCTGTCCGTAGTATTGCTGGGATGGCATGCGCGAGAGCGATGGATTATACGCGTTCTGATAGTCTGACGCGCTGCTGCTGTACCTTCGTCCATGCTGGTATACATCTGGCACACTCGGTACACTCGGGCGCCGGAAGGAAGCAACTGGTGACTGCGCATACGACTGTGGAAGCTGCTGCATTGAAGGCTTCTTCGCTGGCGACCGTCGCGGAGACGCTTCAACGGAGAGCTTGCGTTTTCGAGGAGCCTGTATTTGAGAAGCCGTCATCTGAGGGGAATCCAGCTGGTAGTATGTCGGCGCGTCGAGGTATGTGAAGCTGCCCACTTCGATCGTCGGAGAAGCCCAGCTGACAGCGGTGTCGTCCATAATGAGATGGATCGGGACCTCTGGAGTGGGAGACTGCGTATCGGCCAGAGAAGGGGTCGTGGATTCGAGCGAATACTGAAAAACTTGATCTTGGGGCGTTTTGGTCAAAATACTCTCGCATCGTTTGGCACCAAACATAATCAGTGGTGTAACTCGTGGTGCATCGAAGTCGTATACGCTCTGGAAGTAGATTGTCACTTGCGTGCCTGGTAGACCTGATCTAGGAGTGTAGCTCTGTATCGTAGGCACTTGACGGGCGGGCTGTTGGAGATATGCAGGGTACTGGACCACCTGCTGACCATAATAGGCTGGATCATGCGTTGCGTATTGTTGAGCAGATGGTACCAGACCGACCGTAGTGGATGATTGGGGCAGGCCAGATGGTACCTGCGCCTGAGCAGCTACATATTCGGCCGGGTAAGAAGAAGGGTGTGCAGCGACGAAAGCGCCGTAGGCTGGTTGCCCCTGCTCGGGTCGTGTGGCTGTTTGGTAGTCTGTGGTGTGCGTCACGTCAGTCATCTGGCCCTGTTGTTATTTCACATGCCCATGTTCCCACGCTTGCGGAGCGCGGCGGCAGGAACAATTCTTGCCGTACTTGTGCCGTCGCTATCGTAAGCTAAATTACGAGCTAATGTATAGCGAGGCACACCACCGCTTCAAGCATCCCAACCTCAGGCAGTACCAAGCCGAAGTCGCGCAAATTGATGGGGGTTTCACGTACCATACACATCGTAACTCTGCGCTTTGTCGTACTCCGACATCGACAGCAGATCCGTTTGGGATTCTTGATGCGCCAGTGAGCCAGCTTTGGTATGGAATTGGTCGTTGTTGGCAGGTAATGTGAGTGTGCTGCAGTCTTCATTGACAACAACCAATTCCTTGCTGTCTGTTCTTCTTGTTCGGTTCTGCGCGCAACACAGTCAGTGAAATTTCCCACCAGCGCGCCAAGGTCATCGCAAAGCAACTCGGTGGTCAAGACGTGTCAACACCTGCATTGCCACAGACCAATCCATCTTCACACATCTGGGACGAGACGTACCTCGTGACGCATACGTTTTTGGTCAGTTCCAGCTGGGCGAGTGATCAATGTCGAACAGAAGTCGGAAATCGCAAGAGTGCAGTGGACGGCCACTTGTACGACGCTGGATGTATGAGCGCGCCTCTATTGCGATCCCAATGTGCGCTTCGATGGGCTGAATGAACTGGTGGGGTGGGTTTGCAGCAGCTATCCGCTTCAGAGACATGCAGAAATAGACCGCTATTCCCTTTGACGTGAGTGTCAGACTGCGACTCCCGTCCTGTCGGCAGCGTCAACCGCCTCAAAGAATGACACCTATTCGTGTAAAGGCAATCTAGATGTTCGTGCAGTCGTTCGCAGGAGATTGCAGGGTAGTTCCCGAGAGCTGGTACCAAGGACCTGGCGTTCCGCTACTGTGCGTACCCGACGCGAATTGCCAGTGCGGTATCAAAGCAACAGCGCTGTAGGGACGGTGTTTTGGCCGACACAATCAGAATACCTGCTGCTGGAATTAGTCTCCGATGCGGTCGCCAAAATTCGATGCCTGTTGCGGTGATTGCAATTTTCGCTCATACCAGGTCGAACAAAGGGAAGCTGACGACGGAGCGCCTCTGGCGACGCCTGCTGTGGGGTCGGTGGCTGTTCGTCGATGTCCGAGAGACTGAGCGAACGCGATATGATCTTTTCCGTGCGTGTTCATCGGCCAGCGACTGGCTCCCAGCACATCAATCGAACAATGATGCCAGATTGAGGTTGGGAGGGGGCCAGCTGCTCAGGCCTCGACGTGCGGAATGACCTCTTGTTTAGAGAGGAAACCAGGAGCCGGGCGGGGAAAGGAGCAAGTAGTTCATGCAAGGGAGGAGTGGGAAAGAACGAACCTCACCTGCAGAGAGATGTACAACAGAGACAGCCTGTTTAGCGACGCCGGAACCAAAACAATCAAAAGATGGTTGGTTGTCCACACAGCACGGCGGTATCGCACCAGAACAAAGAATTGAGGTTCCGCTCAATAGTGCATCCAAGAATGCCTAATGATCACTACGGCAGGCCGTGGAGCCGTCACCTGACGATCGAAGCTGGAAGTCAATGCGTCAGTAAGGCCTGAAGCTTCGGTGTAAGCTACCGGACTCTGTAGAGCGTTGGAGTTTGGGTGGATCTGTTCGCAGCGTACCACTACCACATGCCCGTTACCAAAGTTCTGTAACGCGGGTCACTCGACTGGTGGAGGTAGCCCTCCTCTGCTGATCGGAAGCCTTGGCGCCAGGTCGGTGTGGCCGCAAGCCAGGTCGGTGGAGCTGACCTAGGAATGCTCACTCACCACTGTGCTGGTGTATCTGAGTCAAAAGCGTGGAGGCCCGAAAAAGTGTTTCAAATTGTCTTGAGAGAAAGCACGGATTCACAAGCGGGTGAGCATGCGTGTACGTTGGAATCGAGAAAGAGCGTAAGCCTTGTCGGGCCCGTCGTAGATCTGTGCAGTCTGTGAATAAGTGAGGAGAAGAGTAAGCGGATGCGGATGAGCATAGCACAAAAGAGGGCAGTTGTAGGAGGTAGGAAAAACAATGATCCAACATGTACAGTCTGTAGCGAGTTGTGAACGACGACGATCATCAACATCTGCACAGACGTTAGACAAAAGACACACTGGGGGAGAAAGTAGGAGCAGGAGCAGGAGCAGGAGCAGCAGCTGCTGCTACTGCTGGAGAAGTGTGCCACAGTGCCGTGAGGGAGGTAGCTCGTCCCCTTGACGCGAGCGAGCATGGTATGCCAGGCATTTGACTGGCCTAATGGCGCCAGCGCGACCTCCCATGGCAGCGCCAGATTGCGTCTGTGGGAAAGGCTTGGGAGACGGTAAGTATGATTCCATAGCCAGCCGGTGCACTAAGCGCAGGACAGGACAGGACAGTAGTAGTGGGTGCTGGTGGTGGTGGTGGTGGTGGTGGCCCTATCTGGTCAACCAGGCATCGCATCGGCCTATGTTTAGGACAATCCCCGGGCGCCCGTGAGAAAGCTTAATTTTTTTTTTTTCGTTTCGTGTCAACTGTGCTCCCCAGTGTGTGTGCATGTGTGTGTGTGTATAGGTGTGTTGTGGCCGTGCGGGCCGTGCAGGTGGCTGCTGGACACAAGATATTGGGCGACCCGATCGCTGTCTTACAGTCTTGCGCACTGCACTCTGCCGACGGGCGCGCCTCTGTGATGATGCCGGGAGGCCTCATCAGCCCTGGGCGGTGCTGGGCCTGCTGGCTGTGGAATGGCAGGGCATCGGCCTTCTTCGGGGAGGGGGACTACCTGTCAGCCGCTGCACAAAGGGCACCGCGCAGTGGGCAGAGGAAGAGAGGGCTTCCAGGCTACACAAGGGAGCAGTCGGCCATCCCTTGCGCGCTCGCCCAGCGTCCGATGTTCCTGCGGGGGCCGCTCGATGGGCTGAATGGGCCTAGCCGCACGCCTAGGATATTTAGTCGACGTTCCCGCCAGGCGGCTGCGGAGAGTTGTCAGTGCGTGCGTGCGTCTCGCATGTAGGAAGTACCTAGGCAAGGTGCGGGAGAGGAAGCGTCGTTCAGATCCGCAGAATTAGCCAAGCCCTGCACACGCAGAATTGGGTTTGGCGAAATCCACCAGGGTGAGCGAGACCAATGATCAGCCACCTGCACCAGGATCGCACACAGCCCGCAGGTACACCCGTTTCCGTCCGTTTCTGTCCTGCTGGCGGGCGCCCACTGCTGATTGGAGACGTTGGAGTGCTGTGGTGTCCCCTCCGTGAGCCGTCGCAGCGGTATGGGCCTTCATCATTCATTGGGCCACCGCCCGCCCATCCGTCAGACTCACTGATGCGCATGCGGTGCAATCGGGCCGTTGTCATCACCAGATGGGAGGTACGTCGTCATGTCCGGTGGTATAATCAGAACAAGAGGCAGAAGAAGAAGAGGCGCGGCCGCACAGGAGAGCTGAGGGGAGGGACAGTGGACGGTTACGGTACACCGATGTCAGGTAGCGAACGATGGACTAGGGAGCGACGATCCATCACGGCTTGAACCTACTACTCCTCTCTGCCACTGCGACGGGACTGGTTGAATGGCATTGGCATGGCCTACACCTCCCTAGCCTGCTGGTAAACTTCTCCATGTGCAATGCTGCTCGCAGCACACACTGCAAGGTACGCTTCTTCAGCCTTCAAGACACGATAGATCATGTCCCTACCGTAATCATCAGGATCTCACTCTTAGTGTACTACACATTACGATATACACCTCGTACCCGCACTCCGCTTTCCCGAGCGCTCGGACTTACTCATCCACCACGACACTACTACTGCTGGTGGAATCGCCCGCCGCCGGTTTGCTCAACAGCTAGGTCTGGCCGGGACTACGTTGTCCGCCATGCTCTGACTGCTGCGTTGTCCCAAGGCGACTGGCGGCAAGTGAGCGCGGTGACTTCGGCATGCTGCGTACGATCAACAGCTAGCATGGTTCGGGAATTGTGCTGAAAATAGAGAGAGAAAAATGGCGCAGCAAGGCCAGTCCAGCAGGACTAAGAATCGCCCGCTGCTGCAGCATATACCGTACATATGTCGGTGGCACTTGGGGAACAGCTTCGTGCCGTGGAATATTGAGAAAAAGAACCGCATGCCGCCGTTGTGGTGCTCGCAGCTGCTGCTGCACGCTGGTCGCGCAAGGGAGGTCAAGTCACTCAATGGCGAGATTGCAGGGTTGTACGCTATACCACTCGGGCCCTGGCACCCTGACAGCGTGTGCGGTTGCTAAAAGCACAAGTGTCAAGGATAATTGCGCAGAGCCCGCCCTCCATGGCGCGCTTGTTACTTCACACACCCACGGTGACACACCCACATACACACGAAGTGAAGCCTCTCTAGTTGGTCGGCTTCATTACAAATGTCGCTGTGATTGGCGATTCCTTCGAAGATCCTCGCTTGATCAAGAGCGCGAGGAGCACTCTGTAACAGCTTGGGTCGCCCGTTGAAGGCCCGCAGCAAACTCATGGCGTTTGGTAGCGGTGGCAGGAGGCTTTTATTGAACAGCGACAGAAAGAGTAAGTAGCATCGTGGAAGCTTTCAGGCCCAGTGCTGAGTGCGCATGGCATGTCGATACTGTGGAGTTTTCATGAGACATGGGGAGAGACCAGGCCATACAGAAGCTCGACAGCCAGGCCAAAGTTCAGCGTGTACCAGATCTTCCCTCAGGTAAGGTAGGTAGGAGGTTGCTCGGATGCAATACTCAAGATTCTTCTCGATCTGCCGCTGCTGCTGCTGCCTTCTCCAGCTCTTTCTCGATATGCAGTAGTTTGCGCTCGATCACAAACACTGCTTTCACCATGCCGTGAAGTGGATAGCCGGCCAATCGAGCGGCCTTTTCGTGGAATGCCTTGGTGGCACCATGCAGTTCCTCCACTGCTCTGTACTGAATATACGAACTACCTGTGCGTGGGACATCGTCGGCAGATTGATCCGTGATTATTCGCTGTGCACAAAGTCCTGCTTGAACCTGGGCGAGCTTCTCGGCCGAAGTGTTGCCAAAGTCGCTAATCTCGGTTTCTGCACGTGCGGCCGTGGTCTCGTTCTGGCTCTCGTGGTGCGTTGGGAACATTTTGAACAACGCCCTCCGGAATTCTGCATCGCGACCAGCTCTGCCACGCTCGCGGACTTCTTCAGAAGCGATATTGCCTTCATACCAGTCGAGATATGCGTCCAAACGTTCGTCAGCCAGATCCAGACTCTGCGATTCCGTCATGGTAAACGCGGTTTGATATGTGAGGTGGCTGGACTCATCTTGCGAGGCGAGACGGTTGGAGCCAACGTTTTCCCTATTTCCATCGTGCACAACATTGCGCCCATCCTGAATGCGTTGCCATGCATCCCAGTCCATCTTCAGCGCAGTCATGTCGCTTGCAGACGTCGGGTATCTCTTCGCATGATCAAATGGGAATAACATCTTGATGGCGATGACAATCATTACCATCAAGCGTACTTCCGGACAACGCAAGCTGATGCGGCACCGCTCTTTTGCGTCGACGTTGTACTGAAAGTCAAGCCCGAGCAATCCACCTAGCCGCTGTGCTGTGACATAGACCTCCAGCGGCAAGTGCATGGTCTTCACCCATCGATAAAGTACCAGAGGATGGTTCAGTGGAGGCGCTTGCATGCCCACATCCGAGTCGAGACTTGTCAACAGATCAAGAACGTTGCGTTGGAGGATCTCCATGCGCAGCAGAGTCTGCGGCTCCAGTGACTCTTGCAGCTGACCCGGCAAGCGATCTCGCATGGACAGTGGCACTTCTCGTGCTGCTCGGTAGTAGAGCAGATCGCCATCATTCACCCACTTGTATATATCCGCCGTTGTGATTGGGATTCTCAACAGCAGTATACCAACATATATCAGAGACAGAAGGTCCGTGAGCTTCGGATTCTTCGATTGCTTGCGCAGTGCCGTGCTGCGACGTGAAGTCACGGTGCCAGCATCTGTGCCAGATTCACCTTCGGATTGCGAGCTGAACATGCGTGACGATTGCGCTTCCGTGTCTGTATCGCCATCGTATGAGACCTAAGGCATGTTAGACATATTTGCCTCCTTGGTCCCGAATTCACAGTGGCCTATTCCGGAGCACAGTTCATGCTGCCAGAGATCGCCGCTGGACCGGTGGCCGCGAAGTTATGTATGGGTGTGGTTGGAAGCAGATGGGGATGCAGAGGTGCTTAGTATGTTACAACTCACCTTGTGCTGTAGTCTCTGCAATCGCAGTGCAAAGAGATCCCTGACCACAGTTTCAAGTTCTTGAGGCAGCTTTTGAGTATCGATCAGCCATCGAAGCTGTTTCCGTAGAACGAGCTGAATACAAAGAAGGTAGTGTTCGAGCGCCTTGGTGCCGGTGAATCCAGATACTAAGATTATTGATATTAGCACTCGAGCACGATCATTCCCCAGGCGCTCTTCACACGCCACGATACCAAAGGGAGGTCTCGTCAAGATCGATCAAGCCAGTAGTGACGAGAGGCAGAGGCGGATTGGGATTTTTTTTTGCATTTTCTCAGTTCAGAGTGACCTTGTGAGCCAAGCATGCCAGTGGATGCTCGATAATCAGGAAAGACCAGTATGGTGCACTCACTCCTCGTAACGCTACTCTCTCCATCACTATCCCCAGTCCTCTTCGTGGTTCTTCCAGCAATGATCAACTCTCCCGTATCCCGACTTACGACCAGGCCAGCATCCTGCTGATGACCTTGGTCGCAATACGTGAAGCCATCGTCACCAACATGGAAGCGCCGAGAGCCGCAATTATCTTGAGAGCAAGAGGGTCTGCGCGAGCGGTGGCGGTGGGACATGTTGCAGTTCTTGTCAGGATATGGCTTGGCAGGCGGTACGACAGTTCCAGCTCTTTCCAGTCCCTGCCCCAGAAGCTAGAGTCCTTCTCAAGATGGGTGCCGCTGCTGTACCGCAGGAAGTAGGCGGAAGCCGTGAAGGTTTGACCTTGGGAGCAGTTCATTTACTTTCGCTTGAGCATCTTCATGTGCCAATCACAGGCCTGTTGAAGGTAAGGAACTGAGTAACAAAATACGGCATGTGAGAGAATACTACGAGGCACATGGTGAAACTTGCAATTTCGAGGTGGCGGCGCGCAAATTCTAGCTCTGCCCAGCTTGACCGAAGTGGAGGCAAAAATGCAGAATCAGAACAAAGGAACACGATCTGCGTGGCGCACGCGTGAGGGCGAAGTGAACGGTCTTGTGCACAACGACCTCATATCATGTCTACTCATAAATACGTTCGACGAAAACGCCGAGGCGCTCAGCCAGAAGCACGAACTACCTATCCCTAGCGACTAATTTTCGCTGTCACAACACTGTTCATGCTGCATCTCATAACACGTGGAAACGTGAATAATGCTCGAGCTTTTGTTTCCCAGCAGGCGCTTCGCGTGATAGATGGACCGCTGCGCACACAATCTGCGAGCCGCTTAACCCTTTGGAGCCTGAATGTCAAGTTAGCATCGAGTCGGAAACAAGCCGGGATGTGATGTTACTGACCTCCTTGGCATCAATGCAAGCCTCCTCACCCATGGCAGTGAGAATGATAACATTGGTGTCCTTCTCATCCTCTCTGAAGAGCTTGTTGATCTTGTCACCGGCCTCTCCCTCTGGGACCTTGACATCGTCCTTGGTGGTGCCGTCGTCAGACATGAGGGAGAGGAAGCCATCGTCAGTGATGTCGAGCTATCCCGCATGGTCAGCTGCCTGCCCACTTTCACATCGCATATGTGTGGAGTCTCGTCTTACAAGCTGGTACTCCTTTCGGGAGACGTTTGGCACATCCATGTTGTGGGTAGATGGGGACAGATCCTCCAACTTCTTGCCAGTGAAGATATCAATGGCGATCAAGTGGACCTTGGCGTGACCGTGCTTGCCGGTCTTCGAGGTAGACATGTCGACAATCTTGCATGGGCGGTTCTTAATCACAACGTGGCCGTTCTTCCTCAGTGCAGAGCACTGCATGGGGAACGTGGCGGAGGAGCCAGCATCGGCGCTGTCGAAGGTGTGCTCATGCTGTGGGGAAAAATAATCGAGTCAGCGATCTATCGCGCCCGCGCACACTTTTGCTTCCGTTACGGCGCTGGCAGATGCGAGCCGCCACAAAAAGTGTCGGGCTTCGTTGGCAGATGTTGCGCAGAGAGGTGTACATGACCGTGGTAGGAGAAGGCAGGGCAAACATACCTGGGCATCGTTGGGGTCCGCCATGGTGAGTGAGAGTAGTGCAGTAGGGGTGATGAGGAGAGGGTGGAGGAGAAGGTGGTGAAAGAGACGAAATTCACAAGCGGGGCTCGAAAAGGTGGTTGCGCACGCGCACGTGATGCTGCCTGACCGAAATCCGTGCAGGGACCAGTGGAGTCGGCTGACGGCTTCGCTTCTCAGCGTCCTCGTCCAGCGTCCGTCCGAGAGCAAGCACATGGTGGCTAATCAGCCCACAACATGAGTCTATGGCTGAACAGATTCACTGATCATGCCTCATCGCGGGAGTCCACTCCGCCTCCAGCACCGACTAGGCTCTCCTCGCCTGCTCCACGACGTGCCCTTCAGCGGGGGCCCAGCACGAGTCTCCCTCGACGACCGGCCATACAGCCCAGAACTTCCTCACTCTCGGTTTCATCGCTTGCGGGGTCAACAGATAGCCTGCCAGCGACAGCGAGAATACCCAATGGCACGAGCCTGAGTGGCCAGTTGGCTGCTTCGCCTGCTGCGGATCTGCCCGACCCTCTACATGTCCTCGCCAGCATACTGGGAGCGGCACAGTCGCATGAGACGACCGAGGGCAAAGGAGACGATGAGACCATAGTCGATGAAATTGAGTTTGGCGGCTTGAGTCTGGAAGATTTTGTCAATGCGCCAGAGGAAGTGATGTCGGAGCCTGAGATGGGTGATGAGGACAGTCCTACTGTACAAGACTTTGAAAGGGAAAAAGATAAATTTGAAGATCTCCACAAATCCATCTTAGCCTGCGACGAAGTTCTGAAGTCCGTCGAATCGTACCTGACTAGCTTTCAGGCCGAATTGGCATCTGTATCTGCTGAAATTGAGACACTACAGAACCGATCCACGACATTGAACAACAAGCTTGAGAGCAGGAAGGCAGTGGAGAAAGTGCTAGGTCCCGAAGTTGAAGCCTTTAGCATACCTCCTGGGGTCGTTCGGCAGATTACAGAGGGTGCTGTCGATGACCAATGGATCAAATCACTACAGGAACTTGAGAGACGATCAAAGGCCATTGATGCCAAAGTGAAAGAGGGCAAACACATCAAGGCCGCGCAGGACATCAAGCCCTTCATCAACGACTTGTCCTTGAAGGCTGTACAGCGTATAAGAGACTACGTTGTGACCCAGATCAAAGCACTTCGTTCGCCCAGTATCAACGCTCAGGTCATACAGCGGAACAGCTTTGTAAAGTACAAGGACGTCTTTGCCTTCTTGACGCGACAACAACCTCAGCTGGCCGAAGAGATTTCTCAGGCGTACATCAACACCATGCGCTGGTACTATCTACAAAACTTCACACGTTACAAGACTTCGCTGGACAAGCTGAATTTGCACGTCATCGACCAGACCGAGGCCATTGCGGCAGATGGTGGAGGGCGACGCGGCGTGAAGGGAGCGGCACCGCATGATGCCTTTTCACTGGGTCGCCGAAAGGATATACTGCGCGACACCAACGATACTGCCCTGCCATCATTTGCTGCAGAAGATGACAAAGGCACGCACTACTTGGAAGTGCCATTCCGCGCACTGAATCTGGCGTTGATCGACAATGCTTGTGCAGAGTATTCTTTCTTGACCGAGTTCTTCCACGGACATTCGTATCACGCGAACAATCGCAAATTCAATGAGATATTCCAGCCGACTTTCGAGCTCGGCCAGGCTTTAACAAAGCAGCTCGTGGACGCCTCGTTCGATGCTCTTGGGGTGCTGACTTGCGTTCGCCTCTCACAACACTTGGCTTTCGAGCTGCAACGCCGCAAGGTACCAGTCGCAGAAGGTTACATCAATGGCACGAACATGTTGCTATGGCCCCGATTTCAGCAAATCATTGACCATCACTGCGAATCGATACGCAAGACAACATCATCCTTGTCCGGAAAGCCCGCGGGTTCTGCGCTCAGTCTGACCACATCCGCCGCGACAGCTCAGACTACAGCCCCACACCCGCTCACGCAACGCGTTGCGAATTTCTTACAGGGTATACTGGCACTCAGTGGCGAGGCTGGAGACGACGAACCTGTGTCAAACAGTCTGGTTAGGCTGCGCAAAGAGTACGAAGCCTTCTTGATCAAACTCAGCAAAAGCATTGCAGAGGCGAGGAAGCGCGAGAGGTTCCTGTACAACAACTACTCGCTCGTATGCACAATCATTGGCGATACGGAAGGAAAGCTTGCGGAGGACATGCATGAGTATTTCGTGGATCTTCGAGATGCACTGGGCATAGATTCGTAGGCTCCTCATAATTTGTATTAAATCTATTCAAGGACGGTTATCCGTTATGCAGTCTCGGTAGATATTTGAAGCAGAACATGCTTGACTCCGCTTGAGCAAGAATTGGTGTGCAGTGCATTAACAAGCAAACCTTAAAAGTGTTGTTCTTCTGAAATCTGAATGGCCATCGGTCGGCTCTACCCGTGGTGTGGAGACATCTTGGCACAAATTCAGACTCGCACTTGCATCCATCTCGCCGCAGACATCACCTCTCACAGACCGCCGCACGTCACAGAATAACACCGACAAGAGTGAGTTCTGCCCCGATTCTGCCACTATGGGATAAGTAAAACTGACAATGGTGTAGTGCAGATGTACGTACCGCCCGCAAACCACCGATCTCGTCGAATTCCCTCAAAACGACCACCCAGGACGAACGATTGCAACATGGACTGACAAATCGCGCACAGCTTCGTCAAGACCCTCACCGGTAAGACTATCACCCTCGAGGTGGAGTCCTCGGATACCATCGACAATGTCAAGAGCAAGATCCAGGACAAGGAGGGCATTCCCCCGGACCAGCAGCGTTTGATCTTCGCTGGAAAGCAATTGGAGGATGGCCGTACTCTGTCCGACTACAACATCCAGAAGGTGCGCATTTGACAAAGGAAGAAGGAGCGAAAGATTCGTTGTGCTGATCAAAATGGAATGAACAGGAGTCTACTCTCCACTTGGTCCTGCGTCTGCGTGGTGGTATCATTGAGCCATCGCTCAAGGCTCTGGCTTCCAAGTACAACTGCGACAAGATGATCTGCCGAAAGTGCTACGTACGTCCCGTCTTCCCCGATGATCACGGACTCTCTGGATCATGGAGCATCTCGAATACTGATTAACATACTAAACAGGCCCGTCTTCCTCCACGTGCCAGCAACTGCCGCAAGAAGAAGTGCGGACACACCAACCAGCTCCGCCCAAAGAAGAAGCTGAAGTAGACGACTCATCCCACAGTTGTATGTTGCGCTGGGTATGGCCATGGAGGAGTTACTCGGTTGGAGTTCGTCGAATCGCACACGGAAAGGAATGTGACAGAAGAATGAGAGACAGACGTGTGCAACGCGAGAAGGACAGCTATGGGCGCATTACGAATATACAGCGCGTCAACTTGACTCCGGCATGTGAACTTTCTCGATAACGCTTCTGAAATGACAACCTGAGAATCCTTCAAATGAAGAAATGAGTCCACCCTACACACAAATCTTCCGATGTTTCTCGGCACATATACCAGCGTACAAGGCTGAGTATCAGCAGAATCTAGCTACTCCTCACGCATCCGATAGCCATAGCCGTCTTGAAGAAATGCAATGCCTGCCAGCTGAGCTCTAATCGCTTTACATGAGAGATCCGGAGTGAGCCACTTTCGTGACGCCGTCGAAGCCCGTCTCGAAACGGTAGCTTTTCTAACCGCCCAATGTCAAGACCCGATTTCTGCTCAGCACAACAAGACTAGAACAACGACCGGCCCAGCACATGACTCGAAAACGACGGAAGACAAATGACAAAATATCACGACATGCTATCCGTAGATTTCCTCGTCTCTCTGACGCCTTCTGTTGTTAGAGAGAGGTTCGCTTGTCGGCATATATGGACTACGGAGGGGACGTGGAGATGAAGAACAAATATCACTGTTGGGTGTTGTGGAGGGGATATAATCATGATATAATCATATCATCCTTACTCAAAGGTAAGAAAAACAATTCTTGCATCAGTTTGCTTACTTGTATAGGCTTGGAACGGGGAGGAGGGGAAGACTCCGCATATACCAGCCGGAAGGATCGGTAGGGGTTTTCTCTACCACTGGGGGAGAAGGGCCGCTCTCTACCATTTGGTGTAGTAGTGGAGAGAACTAGGGCTCTCTCTCTCTCTACCCTTGGGTGTAGTAGTGGAGAGAACTAGGGCTCTGTACCCTGATCATGGGAGGCACAAAAATCATGGATTCATGGGAGCACATGTGGAGAAGAAGAAGTATATGACCCATTACCCCCCACAGGAAACACAAAAGCAACACGTCCACATTTCCCTAATCGAGACACTTAGGAGGTACGCTCAGCTCTAACCATGGCGTGTATACAAAGTTCCGGAGCGTACCTAATATGATAGCCTTTTTTTTTGTCTGTGGTAATGGTTCCACGCGTGAAGAAGTCACCGGAGTTCGTGTCTGAGTGAGAATAATAATGATAATAAGAAAAGGAAAAAAATTTACGATTGGTCGAGAAATGTGATATGGGGAAAAGTTTTGGATAACAAAAAATACTAGGAGGTAAAGGATCACAAAGCTGAGAACAAGATGATTCAAAGACTCGCAAAAAGAGAAAGAGAGATACAGAAAGAGAAAGAAAGAGAGGAGTTGCGTGTAGACATGGAAACGGATATGGATATATACCTAGCTTTTGAGAAATCCTATCTACTTAATAGAAACACACACACACACACACACACACACACACACATAGAAAGGAGACTAGAAAGAATATATTAAAATCAATAGCCGACACTTAGCTATACCTACCTTAGGCTTATTTTGTCGAAAAAAGGGAAAAGGGAAAGGAAAGGAAAAAAGACGGAAGGAAGGAATGGGATGGATATAGATCAGTTACGCTATTCGTGGAACTGGCTCTCTCTGCTTTTCTTCTCTCTCTCTCTTCTCTCCTCTCTCTCTCTCTCTCTCTTCTCCTACATCTCTTCTCCTACATCTCTTCTCCTACATCTCTTCTCCTACATCTCTTCTCCTACATCTCGGGGAGTACATGTAAAGTATAGTTAGTCTGTCTTTGACTCAATAGGCTAGCGGGAAGGGTGTCATTTCTTTTTAATCGTTATTCATTCATTCATTAATTCCTTCCTCCCTTCCTTGATGTATGTATGTCCAGAATCCTTATCCGACTTCTTCACAACCAAGCTCGCAAATTTGTTATCAATGCTGCTGCTGCTACTGCTACTGCTACAGATACTCTTTAATCGGCGCGTCCCAACTTCTTCTCCACGCCTCCATTTTGCTATTCCAGAGCTTTTTCTTTCCACTACAAGGTCTCGGTCTCGGTCTCACCGTCCTCTGCTGCTGCCTGACTCCACCATTATCATCTTCATTATCATCATCATCATGCGAAGGAGAAAAGACCTTTTCCGGACCAAAATACTTCTCAAACAAGCTCGACAAGACTTCATCATCGAGTTGCATATGATCACCCTCCATACTCTCAAAGACCAAAGCAGATTTCTCATCCAAAGCTTTCAATCCAATCCAATCTTCGCGATAGAGTTTTCTCTCTCGCAAAAGTGTCACTTTGCCCGAAGTTCGATTGACTTCGGCAAACCATCCACTTTCCTTGGGAATGACCGTCGTATCGTCTTCAAAGACCACCATGACGAATTTCTGTAAACGGGTCAAGCGCGCTTTATACATCTCATTCTTCTTCTCTTCCCTCTCTTCTTTCCGTTCAGCATTCACGCGCGCTAGAAAATTCGAAAATTCCAAATACTCATCCACCGGCTCTGGCTCCTCCTCCTCCTTATCTCCTCCTCCTTCTTTCGTATCATTCAACGTCCGATAATACTGCGCCGGCACAACGTTTCCCTGCACATACTCCGTATACGCATTCCCCCGCATCACCGCCACAGCGCCTTTACACAGAAAATCCCACGTCCCACACGTCCTCCCAATCGCCGCTATTCCATTATGTTGTGCCCCCACTGTCACCAGACTCCGCACGCGTAACCCTTCACATGTCTCGATCAATCCTCTCAGAAATTGCCCTCCTTGCGAAAATCCCAAGGCATCAACTAATACACTAGTACTACTACTCCCACCTTTCTGATGATGAGGGTTTCGATTCCAAATCCTCTCATCCTCTCGCAAAGAAGTACACACAACATCAAGTTGTTCCGTGAGATTTCCGAAAAATGTCGCGCGGCGATCTTCGGAGCCCGAGGGTGCGAGGCGGATGTAGTGGACGTAGGTGTCCGGGTGAATTTCTTGCGCGAGATCGCCGATGGTGTGGAGGCCTGGGGCGTCGTATTGGTCTCCTAGGCCGTGCCAGATGAGGAGGGGGAGAGGAGGCGATGGTGGGGTTTCTTTGGAGGAGGAGGAGTGGAAGGGGGTTTGGTGGTGTTGTTGTTGTTGTTGCTGTTGTTGCTGGGGGATGATGGGCGATGATGCGCAAGTGGTGGAGGTGAGAAAGGGAACGAAGATGGTCGAGATGGATAGGAGAGAGCGCATCGTGGTGTGGCTATGCATGGGTCTGTGTGTGTATGTGTATGGTGTACGATGAAGCTCGCAGTGCAGTAGATGTACGAAGTTGTAGACTTGTAGTGCTGCACGCTGGACCCTGGTCTTGCGATCGTGCTGTGATTGGCTGGGACGGGACGCGGGGCAAATCAAGCCTCGAGGGTCGCAACGTCACCTGGTTCGATAAGCGCAACACAAGACGACATGCAATCTCACCACAATCAAAACAAACAAGTCTTTCATTCTCATCTACAACAGCTTGTTATCAGAGACAACACCACACGCCCACACGCCTTCCCACAGACGCCGTTCGACGCCGCTCATCGCATGCCTTCACCACGCACTACATGCGCATCTTTTCCAATCTCGTTGCGCGAGAAGTCGGCAATTTCGCACCACCACGAAGCATGGTCCTCCATGAATTCACCCATGGCCGCCATGACAATCACAATCCATTCGAACAAACGTTGACGCGCCCAAGGAACGCCTTTTGGTATGCAGAATCACACTCTTCGAGAGCGGTGAAATCATTGGACGTCGTATAACCGACAACACGCGTCGCTATGCAGGGGAATCCGCGATGATAGGAGAAGGGGAAAAGAACAGGCATAAGAGAGATGTTCGTCGCTTGTGCGCCGATATCGCCGTTGTCGCGGCGCTCGTGATATGCTCGAGAGGCATGTTTAGAAGCGAGGACGCTTCCAGTAGTATTGCTACAAGATGGGTCAGTCAGGGTGGATGAGTGATCAGCAGAACGGCTCTTCTTACTTTGTGCTGCTTTCGGGCGGCACGGATGCTGGTTTTACCCAAGCTGTTCGCGACCGCATCGCGGCGGTGCACATCGCTGTCCATCTCGGGAACATAGTAGAATTCACTCTCCAGCAGCTTACCCGCCGCGTCCTTGCCCTCGCGGCTGATTTCGCCGACGCAGGGGATGTCGTCGAGAATGGTCTTGAGGTCGGACGTCGACAAGACCTCCCGCGCTTCACGATCGGAAGGCTTTGCCATGGCACCACGATACTCGGGAGGCAGTTGGCTGTGAATGGTGGACAGCGGCAGTGCGTGAATCCGAGAGTAGGCGAGTTGATTGATCACATGGTTCTTCACGGGACTAATGTGGGAGGCTGGGGTCGGAGCACTGCGGCGCGGTGAGTTGGTGGTGGCTTTCAAAGGCTTACGCTTGCGCTCCGGAGACTCTGCGTGGAACGAGTCGAGCTTGTCCAGCAGATTCGCACCAAAGGGACCGAAAGAGTGGACGACGGGGTCGTTCTCCTCATCATGTTCAGAGAAGTCTTCGTGCTCAGACGCGAGGCGGGAAGGCTCCTGGGGCGACGACACGGTACGCGTGGGTGTGGGGGTACCCTCGCACACTGGTGCCATCGGCTCCGGAGTGGTCTCCGTATCGTGCAGAGCATCTTCTTCAGAGTCATGGTCCTGATAGACGTGCACAGGCTCATCAGTGTCCACCCGGAAGGTTTCGGAAAACGAGGTACCGAGGTTGTAGTTGGGTGTCGGTGAGACGGGCGTGGCTGGACGCGGTGATGGCAGCATGATGGGTGGACTGGAAGGAACGTGAGCTGACGCGAGGCGCGATTGTATTGGTGAGTCCTGGGGCCATTGTGACCTCGACTCGGCAGGCGGATCCCGAGCGTGTTCCTGAGGCCACGCGAGCATCACACGCGTGCTTTGCACGTCCACCATGATGTGCGCCATTGCCTTGTCCGACACGAAGACCTCATGCTTTGCCAACTCCCTCATCTCTCCACGACAGTGTACTTTTGCCCCATTCCAACCCAGACACTCGACTTCGACCCTGCCATGCGGATACGTCTCATCGGGAGCGTAGTAGGTTGCACTCACGTGTGTACGAGAGATGTGACGGTTGGCGGGGAACTGGTAGTCGGAGGAGTTGCTCGAGCGTCCCATGAGGAGGGGCTCGCCATTTCGTGGAAGGACGAGGCACGGCACGTCGCCCAAGGGAGCGCGTTCAGAAAGAGCCGACACGGTGCGTTTGAGAGCGGGACGCGTCCGAGACGCCGGTGACGACGATGTGAGGATACCAGTCGACGAGGTAGGTACTGGAGTAGGGTAATGCTGCTGTCTGGTGTCGAGCGTCTCGTCAAACTTGCGTTTGACAGCTCGAGGGAGGCCTGGGGAAGACGAAAAGGGCGAGGAGAAGGGCTCAAAGGCCGGCAACAGTGATGGACGCGCCGGTGGTGCCTCGTTTGTCTCTGGGGATGGCACAGCCTGATTCCCAGCACGTGTAGCAGCTTCCATCACGTCTACAGTGTGTAGGAACGCGAAGTGCCGTCACGTCCGTTGTGCAGATTTTCCTTTCGAGGCGAGGCTGAGCAGTGATATGGACGCGTAGGTAGCTAGTGGTACAAAGCGTAGTAGTAGAGAGAGTGACAGTAGTTAGTGAGTGAGAACGTCCATTGTGCCAGGTAAGAAGATGATGAGAGGAGGAGGAGGAGGAGGAAGAGGAGGTGGTGGGAATGTCGTGTCGAAGAATGTAAAGAGAGAGAGAAGAGAGAGAGGATCGCGGGTTCGAGGTAGGTCATGGACTCTCTCGCGTGAGGTAGGTCTATGCTTTCTCGCGTATTTGACCCGATCAGCCTCGATGCCGCCGAGCACTTTTCTGATTCTCTTTCTTTGCTTTTTTTCTCTTTCTCATACAGTGCACGATAGAATTACGAACAGAAAGATCATCATTATAATACCAGCAACCCTCTAGCAATTACAATCCATCCACAGAGACAGAGAAATAATGTATACATAAGGTACCTGTATTCGTAGAATCGTAGGTAAGCTTGAACTACCTTACGTACATAGCGACTAAAGCCCCGCCCACAACGCGGCAGCGGCACCGCCCGCTTTTTGTCCTTGGCGCGTTCTGTTCTCTTTTTTACAGCGCGACGCGTTCGGTGAGGCTGGCTGGGCTGAGCTGGCTAGTACTAGTAAGGTACATGTAATGTAGGCTGGGAACATGCCAACACTGCCGTGCCGCACCACCACCTACCTTACCTTTTCTACCTCATCTTTTCAATACTCGTGAATGGAATAATAATAAAGAAAAATAGGACACTACCTACTGGTATCCTCCAATTCCCTATTCGTAATTTTCGGATCTATCAATTAATCAATCCATCCATCTATAAAAATCAATTGTCAGGTACTGCACCTAGGTAGAGACAGAACCACGGTGACCACCTACCTATGAGGTACCCAGCAGAGAAAAAACAGCAACTTACCAGGGAGGGCGGCTACATTATGTACCTGATCCTTTCTTGTACCACCCATCTGTCACACCACCGTTTCTTTTTTTTTTTCTTTCTTTTTTTCTTTCTCCCAGATAGAGACTCGAGGGCGGCGGTTAGTCTGGTTGGTTAATTGGTTGGTTGGTATAGTGTTTCTCTGTTTCTCTTTTTTTTTGTTCTGGGATATGGAAATGGAAATGGAATAAAGGAAAGAGAGATAGAAAGCATATACACCTCACCTAGGAACCTGGTAGGTATAGGTCAGCTACCTGAGAAGGTAGGTAGGTAGGTAGGTAGGTAGAGAGAGAGAGAGAGAGAGAGAGGA